GGAGCACTGATATAGTAGTAAGACATAAGATCGATAATTACTTTGATTACTGACTATATATATATATATGCTTAGAATTAAATATTTCATATAACCTGTTGATTTATATTTAAAAAAACTGGCTGAAATAATATTCCATGTTACCATCTGTGTAATAAAAAAAAAAAAAAAATGTAACCACATGGTTAGAAAAAAATATTGCATGTAACCATAGAATATAAAAAAAAAAAAGTTTAGCTACATGGTTACAAATATCCCATGTAACTGTGCAATTGAAAAAAAAAAAAAAAACAACAACATGAAACCACATGACAGATGAAATGTCACACGACTACATTGTTTAAAAGAAAACAAAAAAGACTTCCTGTAAGTGTATGGTCAAAATAAAATATTTTATGTAACTGTATGGTCCATTTAAATTATATAATAAAGTGGTTAAAATAAAAATAGTTATGTGTAACTGCAGTTAAAAATAATGTAACTGCACAGTGACAATTCAAGAATACAAACACTTTACAGATAAAACAACCTTTCAATGAAAACTAATGTAACCACACATACACTCAAACAATGATGATGCAATAACTTGTTCATTTTTATAAAAGTATGTTACACCATATTCAGTTATAAGTTAAGTTACAAAATACAATATACAACAGTTTGATTTAAATATTTCATGACACAAGATGATTGAACTTTTAAATGTTGCTGCTTAGAATAAGGTAAAAGATAAGGGTTGCCTTTTCCATGCCAACATAACAATGGGGAAGTGGTTGTAGGTTTATACTTTCTTGACTAAATATAATTGGATAGCTGATCTTTTTGTATTATGCTGACTTTTCTTACATCCCGGAACATTCTCTGGTAGCAGTCAGATTGTATTAGCTCTGAACATGTGTGCCCTTATCCAGCACTATTGTTTATTCCTTACCTCCTGATTTGTAACTGAATCTCAAAACTACATTAGGATCCTGTTATAACATTTCTTCTTCTTGAGCATTCGGATCCCTTGAAGTTCACATCTACAGACATCACCCATCGCCATTCATCTCGCCTTCTCTTTTGCGTTGGTGAATCCATGTTTGCAGGTATCACTCCACTGTCACTTCATTCTGCTTCATGGTATACTCCCATTAAACTTTTATGTATGCAATTGTCTGATATCTGCCATTCTCTCCACACGCCCCAATAACTGCAGCCCACTTAATTTCCCCTATTCTGTGCACTCACCAGTTATAGTTTACAGTTCATCAGTAACTGTTAATCCTCCATGATTCTGCTTCATACAGCAGGACTGATTTAATGTCATTTCCTACAACAGTTCAGGGTAAAATCCTAAACTGTAATCAATCTGGTGATTAATACACTCAGTTCCCACGGATGATAAACACATGCTGTAAAATATAATATTAAGAGCAATGATCAGACATAAATTACAGGCATGATGCAAGAAAAACTAAGATGGTGACACTGTTGCATCAAAGTAATGATGATGATGGTGAAGAAATTTACATGTGGTGGTTAGATTTTGATGTTGGCAAGCTTGAGGTAGTTGTAGAAATGAGATTCTATTTTAAATAATCAAAAAAATAAAAAATAAAACGATTCACAGATCTGCCTTTTCTAAGGCCTGAGCCACCCCTGATGTTTCTGGTCTGATCCTTCAGGGACAGGCTTATTTTGTGCTTAGTTATTTCATGAGGTAATGAGAATGTTTAAGGGTTTTGCACTGAAGGATGCTGCAGAAATTTAACAGACAGTTCTACAGACTTCAGTCTAAATATGTTTGTATAATTTAATCATACAAACATACCAGATTCCAGAAACAAAGGATGAACTTTATTGCATTCAGTTTTGTTCATCATGGCTCAATATCTCTCTGCAAAGCAGTTGCCTGCTTGCCAAGAGTCACACAAAGCACAAACTGAGTAGCTTCATCAGTATCTCCACCACCCCCCGATTCTTAAAGAAATATACCTACAAACCAAATTATGTAACCTGAAAGAATAGCCTTCAGAGAGCGGGGGGAAATGGCTTCAGTACTCGCCGCCCCCCCCCCCCCCCCCCATGGAGGTCATCTACAAAAACAATGCTGTATGTAAAAGAAAATGCTTATAAGAAAGACCACAATCAGCTTCATTATTTCATTACTAGGGAATGTTGCAACACATGCACAAAGGGGACAATAAACATCAAAAAGACAATCATTACTTTCAAAGCAAAAACATGGGATTTATGGTAAAATGTGGCCAGATTTATTCAGTATGTTCAAATAAAATGATTTTAAAAAATGTCACATAATACTTTTTCACTCAAAAACTAGTGATGACATGGTGTTTTGCATGGGATAGAAAGAAATACAAGGCAGCAAACGTGACCTCCTTCCCCTACAATGTCATGTTACTATTTCTGTTACATCCTCCTTTCTTCTGCCTTTCTATCCCCCAATGGAGCATAGGCCCTCAACCAACTCACACCAAGTCGTTCTACCCTTCGCCATTACCTGGAGCTCTCATACCATTTTATTCCCTCTATTCTGCGCAGGCACCAGTTAATGAATGTCTGTAATTTATTAGTAATTGCCTTCGTTGTTCTCCATGTTTCCGCCCCATACAATAGTACTGATTTGACAGAATTAAAAATTATTAGTTTAGTATTTCTTTTAATTTCTTTTGACCTCCACAAATTCCCTAGTGCTATGAAAGCCCCTCTTGCCTTTTGTATTCTTATTTTAATATCTCTATCAGTTCCTCCATCTTTATCTACATTACATCCTTAGACACTATAAAATACAAGCACCTGATGGGTTCCCCGTTTCCATATCTCATAGGGAATGAGAGTCACAAGACTTAGGGGACCAGTTCCATTCCACGCCACTTTCCTTCCGGAACTAAAAATGAAATCTTATGTTTCAGTCCCATAAAAATCACTAGGTTTAGATTAGGTAATAACTTCATACACATTCAAATAAAGTCATGAATTAACTCAACTTTCACACAAGTGTTGACAAGTACAAAACTGGTTAAATGTCAGCCTCCACAAATGAGTGTTAGCTGGCCTTTGTCATAAAATCTAGAACCTTCTGCAAACAGCACATTAACTTTTTTGATTTACTGCATATTTATATTGCTCAACTTCTAACACACTTCAAATTTACACTACTAAACTTTAGACCAACTACAAATCTATACTTACTAAATTCACACTGCTTAGTTTTTGGCTTTCCTTAAATTCAGTCTAACATTTTGACTTCCTACAAATACACATTTCTTAATGTTAACTTCCTACAAATACACATCATTGCCTAACATTTGACTTCCTACTAATACATAAAATTCCCTTAACTTTGACTGTCTCCAAATTCACAAAAGTTCCTAACCTCCGACTTCTAAAAATTAAGTTGGACTTTTCTTCCCAAAGATTCATGTTTCTTAACTTTTGACTTCCCAAAGATTCCAATTTGTTTCACTCAAATATAAATATTTTAACCTCTAACTTCCTACAAATTCACACTGCTTATTTTAAAATTTACAATATTGCTAAAGTTCAAATTATCATTACTAATGCTAAACCATTAACTTCTCATAAATCAACATTTTAACTCTTTCGTACAAAAAAAAAAAGGCAGGAACCCACTTGAATTCTTTAAAAAAAATGACATAGGTCACAAAAATGGTTAAAATGCATTTATTTACAGTAAAGTTTTTTTACACTTCTAAGTTAAACTGGGGTGGAGAAGTAGTAGCTGCATACCCACTGACGAAGGAATCCTGACAATGAAAATACCCTACCATTGTTCAGTGTTACTTTGCTGCTTGTTTGGCGTTATGTTTTCATACCGATGATGTGTATATATTGCATAAAATAAGTATTTCCCCTAAATTTATGACACTGTGTATTATCACTGTTTAGATATACAGATACACTAATAGCAAATTCCAGATTATGTAACTAACAGATGCTGCTGACAATTTTTAAATATCCTCTATTAAATGATGCATGAGTGGAATAATGTTATGTTAAAAAAGAGTGAGGCCAGATGGGCAGAATCCCGTTCCGAACCCTTTGAAAATAAATCTATGTGCGAAGCTTCTTGAACAATGGAAATTTTGAGCATCTTTTTTCCCCCTTGAACAAACCAGGCACACCTAATAAATCTGGCTTATTTAACCACAATGTAAAAATGATACAACTTTTGCTTTGGTCAGTTCCATTCTTTACCGCCTTGATTTCCAAGACAATTTAAAAAAAAAAATCATCATGAAAATGGTCTGATACCCATTTTTGATTACTGATTTAAGAATCATCACTGCTTGCTGGGCATACATATCGATGCTCCACCTTCTACAGCAAATGTTTGTGTAGATGCTAACTTTTCCCAAAGCACACTGATTATACACACATCTCTTCCTCTCATATGTCCCTCACTGAATGCATTGATAATTCAATGTTCACATTCTTACAGATTTCATCCAACCTGGTGTCTTCTGTTAGCCATCGTTCATATATGGTCTTCAGAATGTGTTTTGTCCAGTATGAGTGTTCTAGCTTTTACACCCAAGCAATCCAAACTTTCTTTTCCTTGCACTCCTGCATATTCCGGACAGTACACATTTATAACGTCTGGTCACTTCCTGAGCTTGTACTGGTCAGAAGTAATCATCCTAACACTGCTAGGGATTGCACCTGGCCCTCTGTATTGTCATGCAAGTACACTGACTGCTAAACTGCTACAACTACTACATCATCTTTGTTAGGTCTCGCAAAAAAAAAAAAAAAAAAAAAAAATACATTTGTGGTCTGAAATTCAGGTTGTACTAAGCATTTTTGTTTCTCTTTTGAATGTCCTAAGCTGTGTTTTGAGAAAAGTTAGACATAAAAATTTCTTAAAACGATGTAGCTATTTTGTGACGACAAAATTGGCTAGATTTTTTATGTTTAACAGAACAGTCACCTAGCTTTTTTTGTTACAAACAAAAGAATAAACAAGCATATCCACACTACAATCTTGTTCCATTAATTGCAGCCAAGTCAAATCTTTTATCTTCTGCACCGCTTTTTCTTTTACCATCACCTGATACTTTCTTATCCTCTGCTGCACTTTTTCGTTTATCTTCAGACCCATCCTTTCGCTTATCTTCCTTTGCTTTATCTCCTGCACCACCTTTCCGCTTATCCAATGACCACCCTTTCTTTTTTTCCTCTGAAACTTTTTTCTTTTCGGAGCCACTTTTAACTTTTTCTTCACTTTTCTTTTTGCTAGTCTTTACTTTTTCTTCTGAACTGTTTTTGACCAAGGACTGACTCTTTCTGTGTTTGTTCATTTGCAATGTCTTTGCTCTGACTTCTGTGAGTTCTTCATACATGTGGGACTGTACAACTCTTTCCCGCACCTCAGTCACACCCAGAACAGTCTCAGTTACCATCTGGGAAGATGCTGCAGCATAGCTAGTAGAAACAGAGGTAATATGGTATGAAGACGATGCACTGTGGTTCATGGAAGATGAGGGGGTAACTGGTGATGTTGGAGGACTCAAATCAACTTCTTCGTAGTCATGGTCAAGTCGCTGCCGCCTGGGACCACTCTTTTGTAAATCGTCTTTGTTTCTCAAGGAATCCGTGGGAAGGCTCATAGAACTGTTTGTAGTGAACCCTCCAGGGGTGGGCACATGCATGTTGGTTCCTGTGTCAGGAATTAATGGTGGAGTTCTTGTGTCTAAAGAAGTGCATTTTGCTTTCAGCTGAGCCACTTTGGCTCTCATTTCCTCTACACTTTCATAGTTGGGATCATTCTCTGTTTCATCCATTGTTTCACTGTCTGAAATACAGTCCTTGACTGTCTGGTAGTTTGGAACAAGTGTAACCTCAACAGACTCCTCATCACTGATGAGAGAAGAGTCTGGGATAGTTGGCAGACTAGAACTCTGCGGTGGGCTGCCAGGTTTTTTTAAAGTGCTGTAGCCATCTTCAGAATCCTCATCTTCATGGCTATTGCTCCAGATATTCAAACTCATGGCTGAATCCTCGGGGGAAGCCAAGTGGCGGTCACTCAAGCGGTCGCCTTCGCTGGATGTCTGAGATTTGGTCATCAGGTGCAGCGAGTCCAAGGATGGTGGTATTGGAGCCACACTGCTGCTGCTGTTGTTGCCACCTGTACTACTGCTGCTGCTGATAATGCTGGAGCTCAAGCCAGCCCCTGAATTGCCTGAAGTAAACCAAGAATCATCTGAATCATCTTTTGATTAAGGACATTGTGTAGTTTATAAACACCAGCTTACAGGCATAATCCAGCCTTCTGAAAGCATGAATGAACACTACAAGTAGGGAGCTCTATTAACAAGTGACTGTTGTGACCAAAGACACACAAATGCTTACAAAATGGAAATAACACAAGACAGAATCCACAGGTGTCAATGAAGAACAAAACCCAAAGTTAGGAGCAAAGCATATATGCAAAGACGGAATGATTGTTTAAACTGTCACCCTCGACTACTAAAAATGTTGCATACAGAATGTTTTGATAAAATAAGAGAACCACGCAAATATGAGTAGCTGCTTATAGGATATTATGAATACTAACAGGAAACTAAGTCACATAAAGGTTATTTTTTTCTGTAGGAAAAAACAAAACAGGACTATAAGTGTTGCATATAGAATGATTTGATAAAAACATAACTAACCAAGTGTTGCATGAAGGACGTTTTGATAAAAACTGGGAACAGCTAAGGCATAGGGTTAATAATTTTTTTGTTTTTTGGTCTTTTATCTACCAATGGATCATAGGCCCTACAAGCTAGATGATGTGAGGGCTCTCTGGGGCGAGTAACAGTGGAGGAACAAAGAGATCATTTTGGTCTGAGAAGAATAGAGCTACAGGGAGTTACCATGGAATTTTGCCGATGATTAGGGGAAAGGTGAGACGGATGTACAATCAGTTACTGGTACCATCAGAATTAGAACTCTCTGCTGGCTGCTGAAGATGGGAATGGAGCGCTTATGGAAGTGTAAAGAGTTGTATGATGATTCTTAATTCACCTTTCAAAGGCCGTCAAGATCTCATCTAGCTGTGCCATCTTTTCTCCTGTAACCCTCACTCATCTCTATATTATCTATGTATCGTTTTCTTCTATATGTTTTTATGTCTTCCTTCATTGCATTTGCTCTGCGGATTCCAGGGAAAGACATTCGAGTAACCTTTTAGTTGCTCAATGTGTCAGTTGATTCAAAAGCCTACTGGCAGTAATGAAAGGACAGTCTTTAATAAAGAAGCCGACGTATAGAAAGAACTTTCCTTAAATGTTTGTGAATAATGAACTCAGCAGACAATGGCCAGCACCAGACTGCTAGCTGTTGTATCAGTGAGAATCATCAGAAAATGCAGCAGATGTAAGGTTTCTCACCCAAGCAACAGAATATGGAGTATGCCTGTATCTGTTATACACCCAACTTTCTTCACACATGTAACAGTATCCCAGCAAAATAATCATCATGCAGCAGTCAATACCTTGGTCTAATAATGATCGTCTTGCCTATGGTTTCAACAAATGTGGTCTAAAGTCTGGTCAACAAAAAACGTACATCAAATTTTCATCTAGACCGCAACACTCAGTCATTGGTCTAGTCAAATGCAGTCAATTCTTATTCTCACCTGGCAGAGTTAATTTTTCACCCAATTCTGATGCAACTAATTCTTAGTTCAGTTGGAGTTAATAAGAGATGTAATCTATTGCAGTTAATTTTTTGGTCAAGTCTGATCCAGTTAATAATCCATCCCTAGTCTAATCTAATTCTTGGTCTAGTATGATGCAGTTAATTCTTGGTCTAGTATGATGCAGTTAATTCTTGGTCTAGTTTGATGCAGCTAATTGTTGGTCTAGTATGATGCAGTTAATTGTTGGTCTAGTATGATGCAGTCAATTGTTGGCCTAGTTTGATGCAGTTAATTGTTGGTCTAGTATGATGCAGTCAATTCTTGGTCTAGTATGATTTAGTTAATTCTTGGCCTAGTTTGATGCAGCTAAGTGTTGGTCTAGTTTGATGCAGTTAATTTTTGGTTTTGTTTAATGCAATTAATTCTTGGCCTAGTCTGATGCAGTTAATTCTTGGTCTAGTATGATACAAGTCTTGGTCTTGTCTGATGTAGTTAATTCGGTCTAGTTTAATAAATGTAAGTCCTGGTCCTGTCTGATGTAGTTAATTCTTGGTCTGATATAATAAATTAAGTCTTGGTCCTGTCTGATGTATTTAATTCTTTGTTTAATCTGAGTCAATTCTTGGTCTACTCTGACAAACTGAATTCTTGCCTAGTCTGATGTGGTTAACTCTGTTTAGTTTCATAAATTTAATTCTTGTCTAGTCTGATGCTATGGTGTAGCAGCTAGATGCTCGCCTGCTGATCAGAAAGTCCTGGGTTAAACTTCTAAGCCCGACTTGGTTGGCTTATAATTATCATAAAGGATAACTAGCTCATGATTGGTTGGTAATGTTTTATATGGGATAAGGTAGATAGTCTCATGCCAACCCTCCTTAGTCACCTCTTATGACATGTCTGGCAGGTTAAGATTTCTCCATTCCAGTCTGTTATGCAATCCTTTCAACCGTGTTATTGGAATCTGGTCTGGCAATTCTGACCAATGTTCCTCAAATGGTTTCTTGACATCCTTGCCGCCTCAATTCAGTTGTTTCGTATTTCAGAATGTTAAATACTAACACTAAAAGCTATTATTCACTGGATGTGGTTATTCTCACTAGACAAGTCATGAGCCACAAACATAAGCATCAAGCTTTACGACTCACCAATTTCTGCATATGTGTCGCTAGCCTCGCTAAGTCTATTCTCAGCATTTTCACATGCTACACCGCCTCGGAGGACTACTCCATCACCGGACCCTCCATCCACCTAATGACAAGGAATAGTTGGTGAGTACACAATGGTCAAGCTACATGAATCTCTATCTCTCCACAGCGAAATGACTTTAAAATGGTGAAGTGACATGAATTTGTATCTCACTATGGTAGTGTCATGGATTCTGCAACATCCTCTCAGTCAGAAAGGAAGAATGTAAAACAATAAGAGAATCAATATGGAAAGACATAAGTAATGTCAAAAGGAATGAAATGCAGAACCTAAATATAGCAGCAGAATGCAAAGGCATTAAACAGACATCAAAGTTTAAATTTCTGGGAATAACGTTCACAGAAAATGGTAAATTAGATGTAGAAATTAACATCCAATGCAGTCAAGCAAAATAAGTATTGGGACAGCTATCTCCCCTCTTACAACACAAGACAATCCCAATCAGGAACATCTCATACAGAGCATATTCATTCCAATCCTATGCTACCAGCGTCATACGTGGTTTGGTTACTCAAAACAAATCAGAAAATTAAAACTAGTAACCAAGGAAATAAAATGTATGAGAAGGACTGCAGGAGTGACCAGAAGAGTTACAATCAGGAACGAGGTTATAAGAGAACAAGTCGGCAAAGAACCAATTCTAAATGACACAATGACAAATCAAATGGTTTGCACACAGAGAGAAAGCCTTGTGACACCATACTGTATAAGGCATACACAAAAAGAGGTGATAGACACACAACACCAGGTAGACCGAGAACAAGATGCAAAGATAGAGAAATTCTACAACAGCAGTGTGTCTATGGTCGAAGCAGCCAGACAAGCATAAATCACCCTTGACACTCAAAGTGGTAAAAGAGGAAGTGAAGAAGAAAAATTCCTATCTGATTATGCTGAAGTGACAATATGGTGAAGTCTCATGAATTCTTATCTCTTTATAATGAGGTGGCATGAATTTCTACCTCATTTTGGTGAAGTCTCATGAATTTTTATCTCTTTATAATGAGGTGGCACAAATTCCTACCTCATTTTGGTGAAGTCTCATGAATTTTTATCTCTTTATAATGAGGTGGCACAAATTCCTACCTCATTTTGGTGAAGTCTCATGAATTTTTATCTCTTTATAATGAGGTGGCACAAATTCCTACCTCATTTTGGTGAAGTCTCGTGAATTCTTATCTCTTTATAATGAGGTGGCACAAATTCCTACCTCATTTTGGTGAAGTCTCATGAATTTTTATCTCTTTATAATGAGGTGGCACAAATTCCTACCTCATTTTGGTGAAGTCTCGTGAATTCTTATCTCTTTATAATGAGGTGGCACAAATTCCTACCTCATTTTGGTGAAGTCTCATGAATTTTTATCTCTTTATAATGAGGTGGCACAAATTCCTACCTCATTTTGGTGAAGTCTCGTGAATTCTTATCTCTTTATGAGGTGGCACAAATTCCTACCTCATTTTGGTGAAGTCTCACGAATTCTTATCTCTTTATAATGAGGTGGCACAAATTCCTACCTCATTTTGGTGAAGTCTCACAAATTCTTATCTCTTTATAATGAGGTGGCACAAATTCCTACCTCATTTTGGTGAAGTCTCATGAATTCTTATCTTTTTATAATGAGGTGGCACAAATTCATTCCTCATTTTGGTGAAGTCTCACGAATTCTTATCTCTTTATAATGAGGTGGCACAAATTCCTACCTCATTTTTGGTGAAGTCTCATGAATTATCTTTTTATGAAGTGGCATGAATTCCTACATCATAATGGTGAAGTCTCATGGTCTCATGAATTCTTACCTCTTTATAATGAGGTACATAAATTCTATAGTGAGGTAACAAATTTATACCTACAGTGAAATAACATGCTTTCCTATGAAGAAGTGATACAAATTTCTATGTTATGTTTGAATTTCTATCTCAATAGGTTATTACTATCTCATGGTGAAAGGACATGCTGTCTTATCTGATAACGAAGATACATACAACTGCTTATAATTTACAGTTATGAATTTCTATCTAATGTTGAAGTAACCTGAATTTTTACCTTATTAATGTTATGTTAATATCTCATGGTAAAAGGATATGCTGTCTTATAAGAGAAAGATATATGAAACTATATTATTTACTGTTATTTCTGCTCAACACATCCAGTCAGCATAAAATGGTGACAAGACATAGGACCTGGTGGATCATGATTTAAAATAAAAAAAAAATGCAGTACACAACAGGAACAATACTATAGGAGTACAGTTACTTCAAGCAGGAACTAACCGTTGCATACGCATTCTCAGCCAAGTCCATGACCATTTCATACGGGTTCACAGGCAAGGCATTCCTAGCAGACATACTGGCCAGAGACTCTCGTGCAGTCACTTTGGAGTATTTGTGTTCTGTAAGACAATGCGTTCATAGAAAATGGGAATATCTCTGTTCTACTAGACGATGTGCTCACAGAAAAATATTTGTGTTCTGTAAGACAATGTGTTCATAGAAAATTGGAATCTCTGTTCTACTAGACGATGTGCTCACAGAAAACTTAAACATTTGTCTTCAGTAAGACAATGTGCTCACAGAAAACCAAATATTTGTGTTCAGTAAGACAATGTGCTCACAGAAAACTTAAATATTTGTGTTCAGTAAAACAATGTGGTCACAGAAAACTTAAATATTTGTGTTCAGTAAGACAATGTGGTCACAGAAAACAAATATTTGTGTTCAGTAAGACAATGTGGTCACATAAAACTTAAATATTTGTGTTCAGTAAGACAATGCGGTCACATAAAACTTAAATATTTGTGTTCAGTAAGACAATGTGGTCACATAAAACTTAAATATTTGTGTGCAGTAAGACAATGTGGTCACAGAAAACTTAAAAATATTTGTGTTCAGTAAGACAATGTGGTCTCAGAAAACTTAAGTGTTCAGTAAGACAATGTGCTCACAGAAAACTTAAATATTTGTGTTCAGTAAGACAATGTGGTCTCAGAAAACTTAAGTGTTCAGTAAGACAATGTGCTCACAGAAAACTTAAATATTTGTGTTCAGTAAGACAATGTGTTCATAGAAAATTGAAATCTCTGTTCTACTAGACGATGTGCTCACAGAAAACTTAAATATTTGTGTTCAGTAAGACAATGTGCTCACAGAAAACTTAAATATTTGTGTTCAGTAAGACAATGTGGTCACAGAAAAATATGTGTTCAGTAAGACAATGTGTTCATAGAAAATTGAAATCTCTGTTCTACTAGACGATGTGCTCACAGAAAACTTAAATATTTGTGTTCAGTAAGACAATGTGCTCACAGAAAACTTAAATATTGGTTTTCAGTAAGACAATGTGCTCACAGAAAAATATTTGTCTTCAGTAAGACAATGTGGTCACAGAAAACTGTTCTGTAAGATAATGTGTTCATAGAAAATTGGAAGATCTGTTCTACTAGACGAGTGCTCACAGAAAAATATTTGTGTCTAAAAAAAATGTGGTCACAGAAAATTGGAACGTGTGTTCTGTAAGACAATGTGGTCATAGAAAATTGGAATATGTGATCTGCAAGACAATGTGTCCCCCCCCCCCACCTCCCAAAAAAAAAAAAAAAAGAAAAGAAAAATGGAATTTTATGTTCAGTAGAATGTCTTACTGAACATAAAAATTCCATTTTTTTTTTGTGTTCACAGAAAACTGGAATATTTGTGTTCTGTAAGACAATGTGTTCATAGAAAAAATGTTCCACCATATATAAACACTTTCGACATTTCACAGATATATTGGTTATCAAAACAGACTAATGTTTTGTATAACCTGTTTTGAAAAAGCAGAATCAGCAAAAGGAGGTATATTTTTTGTTAATTGTGACATAGCGAAAGGATTAATTTTCATTTTGTTTTAATAGAAAGTTTGAATATTTGTCTTTAAAAAAAAAACAAAAAATCAAACAGTGCAGTACTCTCATTACATTCTACTACAAACAATTATAATGTAGCTGCATGTGTTTAAATAAATACAAAAACAGCTAAATGATTTAAATAACTTTGCAAATGTATTGTTAAAGAATCTGCTGACAGGCAGAGATAGACAAGAGATACAGACACTAAGCAACAGAAAGAAACAGACATAAATTAGGATAAACAAACAGACAGTGACATGGACAAAAAGTCAAAATAACGAAAAGGGCATATACAATGACAACCAATAAAGATAGACGGAGAGAGAGAGAGAGAGATAGGGGAAGAGAGAGACAAGGAAAGAGACGGGAGGAGAGAGACAGGGAAAGAGAAAGACGGGGGAAGAGAGTGAAAGAGACAGGGGGTGGGGGGGGGGGGGAGAGGAGAGAGAGAGATAAACAGAAATGCGGGAAGGAAGTAAGAAAAAAATAGATAAGCACTGCAAGCTACTAGTTTCTGTAGTCTGACCAAACAAAAAAAAAACAGCCGCTAACAATTTACCTCTGCTGTAAGTGGGAGGTGTTGGCGATGACTCCTCCAAACTGTCGTACTCATTATACAGTCTAGGTGGTTCAGGAGGGCCTGAATTGTACGACGAAATATCACTATCACTGTACATATGGACACCTTTCTCAGCTCCCTGCTGCGACATGCCTTTGGTCTTCTTCACAACTGCATACTCTTCTTCCGCATCCCCGTCGTCATCTGGAATGGCTGGCGGGGGCAGCTTGCGGCCGGAGGATGCGCCGATGTTGGGAGGCAATGAGGCTGGGGCTGAAAAAAACAACAGATAATACAAACAATGTTCTTTCCAAGCGATGAATTATGTAGTAAATATGGTTAACACCTCATCATCAGGGATCTGGTCTATGCTCAACACTAAAGGAAAAGGCAAGACAAATGTAGAATCAGACAGTTACTGGTACCATCAGAATTGGAACTCTTGTCTTCCTGCTGAAGATGTGGACAGAGTGCTTATGGGAGTGTCCTGAGTGCTAAGATTATTCCTAATTCAACATTCACTTGTGTGGTGCAATGGCCGCTAAAGGAGGGTCTTCTTATTTACTTCCTCTTTTACTGCTTTGAATGTCTTGCTCTTTATAGTGAGTTAAAAAAAAAAATGTAAAAGCGCAACCAACTATACATGTCATAAAAAGCTACAATGGAGGACTGGCCATTAAAGGAAGTAATTTGAAAACATGTATCAATGTAGCCAACCATGCATGTGATAAAAGGCCACTAAGAAGGGTTGGCTGATATTGGGGAGTAAGCAAAACTCAATAACTGACCAACCATGTCATGTGATAAGAGTCCACTAAAGCAGGTTGGCATGAGACCAAACACCTTCTCCCATAGAAAACTAACAGTAAAATCCAACCAATCATGAGCAAGTCTGCAAAAGGTTTGGCCTAAGTCAGCTGAAAACAAATACTTTGTTGGGAGACAAAAGACAGTAGAAATAAAAACCACAGTATTCCTTCTTAATTGTAGTTCATCTGCTCGAGAGGCAAGGAGCCAACAGTGTGCAACAACAATCAGACCAAATGTGTAGAACGGGCACACATGCAAAACTCAGGTTCTTGAACAAAGCCAAAGTCTAGAAACGGATGAATAATCGGGATTTTCTGTTGAGGTTTACAGCTATGAACACAAATAAACATCTCACAGTAAATTCTCGACTACATGGTGCAGAAACCTGGATAATAAATAAGCCATTAGAAAATTTAAAGTTCTGGAGATAAGGATAGATCATATTCCATGAAAACAAAACTATCAAATACAGCGTTTCTTAAGAAGATAGGAATTCTGCATTAATGAAAAAAAAATAAAAATGGAAGAAATAGAAAAGTAAAATTTTTTTTAATGAAAGACATGAAACTTGTAAAATCAAACTAGAGGTGACCTTGTTTGTATCCCACTACTGAGATCTCAACCAGCCTGCTGGCAACAGAGCCTTGAATCTCTAGTGTTAATTTTTGACAAAGATGCTTCAAGAAATACTGCTAAACTTTCTTCTTTCTTAGTCTCCCCCCAACTTCATGTTCTCATAAAGTGCTTTAGTTTCCCCCCGTCTCCGGAGGTGCCTAGAGAATGAAGATAGACTATCACTGTTGCTGGTAACTAGCTAGCTAGTGGTGGGTGTGTGTGTGTGCTTTTTTTTAAATATTATAGTAGCAGAGGGGGGTGCATGTCTCAGTGACCCCAAGAGTTCTGTAGATGGCAGCTTTGTTAAAGGTAGGATGTCGCAGAGTCCAGGAAAAGGAACTAGTCTATAAATGACAGACATTTGTTGCCTTGCAGGTAGACCAGGGATAGTCAAAGGCTAGGGGAAGTCAGCGGCAATTCTAACCTACATACTCATAGTAAAGAGATGGAGATTTTCCCTATGAAACAACCAACCACCTTAGTAAATGCCAGAGAAACCAGCTGCCTCCACCAATAAACTGAATGTAGCTACTTCAGTAAAATTTTTAAAATTCCCTCTACACCAATAAAACCAGCACAGTTAGATAGCTGTAAGCAATCTCTTTCCAATGGTACCTCATTTAGGCTTGTATGTCATTTCTGAGCTGAGATATGTAGGTTTTTGTGGAGATGAGATGTAAGAAACAGCCGCTAAAACTTGTGACCCACAAACAAGAAGTTTTTTGACTGCGCAACCTACTGCGCAGTTCTGTATCGGCTTTGTTGACATTGGACTGTCATTGGACAAGATGGCAGGCAGTGAGACTCAGCTCACTCAGCCGCATGCGATTGCCTAAAAAATGTCACTGTAAATCTAAACAGCCAGAGTCGGTAAAAAAAATTTAATATGCAAATGTAAAATTGGACGGAGAATTCAACTGTAACTAGCATTACCACAACTGGTAATGTTTAAGGCCTAAAGCCAACCTCGAATTTACCGCTATTTTCAATCAAACTGATGACTAACAGAAAAAACCGAGGAGTCCGGCTGTCGTAGACATGCGCTGTTAATCGGGTTCCCCCACGCTGTTTTCAGCTATTTATAGCTGGTCCAAATTCCCACCCAATGGCAAATTTCATGAGAGATTTGGACCCATACGGAAACCAGCCGAGATTTCCCGAACAAGTTCTGAACGGTTTCCGGGTAACGGAAATTGCCGAAAAGACCGCAAATTGTCGAAACTGTAGTCCCTACTGAATGCCTGGACCATTTAAGGGAGTATTGAGAAGTACAGCACTGGGCTGCTTAGAGTGGATGTTTCTAAACGACTGCCTTTTTCAGGACTATCACCCGGAGAACTGAAGATAATATGAATTAATAGCAGAGATTAACTTCACTGGCAAAAGCACAGCCAGACAGAAGTAGCAGTCAGTGAGAACAAAAAACAAAGAACAAATATAAAATTTAAAAGAATAAATGGAAGCAGGCTGAATGAGTTAAACATAAAAAAATTGTGGAGAGAGAGGGAGAGAGATAGAGAGACAGAGAGAGAGAGAGAGAGACAGACAGAGAGAGAGAGAAGAGAAACATACGAGTAGACAAGCCAAGAACATTGAAAAAATGTTATATCACCTCGAACAACTCGTGTTTCTTGAATTCTCTTCATGTTAGTAGCCCTTGAACCATCATGGACAGTGGTATAAAGATCATCAGCATCTCGTGACTGCCGCAGTCTGTGTATGAATGAGGAAGACACACTTCCTCCAGAGTCATCTATATCATTGTAGGGGTCCTCCTTCACCTGACAAATCCATAACATTGAAACTATTTAGTGCCATGGTTATAAGATTTTATCTTTAGACGTGTACCCTTAACGTCTAAATCATTACAGAAGTCTTCTTTCATATAAGCAAATCCATCATGTTATAAAATGTGCTGAGTACTAAATTAATTAAACCTATTTCAGTCAGGTATGCTCAACATCTAAATCCGTCACATTAACACTGTTCAGTGCCGATCATTGAGGATTTCCTCAGACTTTACCTACTGCTACAAATTTTAGTATTGTAGGGGCTCCAACTTAAATACTATATTCACAGCAACTTTTACATCAATCTTCTGTATCCAAATTCACTGGCTATGCTACACAGAATGCTTGCCAGCTGGCTTAGCAATTCACTGGATTGGACCCATATCGACAGATTTTGTAAACTGACTCAGGCTCTTAGGTCAACCCAGCCTAAAATGGGATGATTGTTATTTTTAGACTTCTGTACATGGTTTATCTGAGACTTTCATTGATGAGATGTAAGTATGACAAGAGATTGTTGATTTGTGTACTTCAGTTAAAAGGATCCACAACTTGTGATTTATTAAATACCGATGTAAACTTATGCAGTAATGCATTTAATGAGATACAACAAAACAAGCTATGAAATAAACATGTGCCTGTGTTTAAATTAATATGTCAAATTTCTCTTAGCAACGTGTCTCAATTTGTCTCAAAATTAATTTTATATATAATAAACTACCTGGCTATAGTAGTCTGAACTGCTGTCATCTTTATCCTTGGCATGGGAATACGGGTCAAACAATTCTTTGGCTCTGGCCTTGACATCTCCTACTACGGCATAAGTTCGTTCTCTCAACTGTGAATAGTGGCCATCTAAGACTCCACTTGTTTCTGACACGGGAGTTTCTCCATCGGTGCTCTCTGGCTCGGCCAGGCTGTCATAATCTGGAGTGAGATAGGAAAATCAATGGTAAAACATCAAAAGAGGTCACAGGATGGGCTGAATAGACTCAAGTTGCCAAAAAAATGTTGAATGTTGAATTAGGAATCGACATCACAGCACCTGGGACACTCCCATAAGTGCTCAATCCCCATCTTCAGTAGCAAGCAAAGAGTTAAAATTCCGATGGTACCAGTAACAGTCTTATTGTATATCCGTCTCACCCCTGCCCCGAGCATCGGCCAGATCCCCTTGTAACTCCTCGCAGTGCCATTCTCCTCAGAATGCAATGATGTATCTGTTCCTCCGCACTGTTCACTCGCTCCCAAAGGGCCCTCACAACATCCAGCTTGTCATATATCAGTTCACCACCAAGTGGTGCAGAACCGACCAATCTATCCGTCTGCTCATTTCCTAACACACCGACGTACCCTGGAGAAAATATCCAAAGGATGCTAACTACCTGGGACATCTGAAGTGATGCTTGCCACTCTGCACGGAGTATGCCTGTCTCCACCTTTCTCAGCATGCACTGTGAGTCAGTTACAATGACGACCTGTGTGAACAGCTGATTCTCAAGCCAACGGAAGGCAGCAGTGACTGCCTCCACCTTCATTCTCAAACTAGACGCTGTGATATCATATGTGAGGCTTTGTTGCGCCAAGCGACGTCCATTCGCCTTCACTATGAACCCCCATGCACTTCGTCTGCCCCTCAACACAGAGCCATCTGTATACACAATCACATCACTTGGGAGGAAATTGTCATGAATCTGTTGAACTTCTGATTCTGCAGCACCAGCTAGCCAGTCCCTGTACTCATGTCCCAAAGTGATTAGAACCCTACACAAGTCTGAAATATGATCAGACACTTTGACCCACTATTCTCCTCATCTAAATTTATCAAGCCTGCACACATGTCCAATTGTGTCATCAGCTTGTGCCATCCAAGACTTTCCTCTTTTCAGTCTGTGACCCTTAGCTCTATCCAGGGTTTCATGCAGGAGGTGCCTCTTGTCCGCAGCTCCTGAGATATGACTTTACTTGCAGAATTTTGAGCCTATCTTCAATAGAAGCAAGTACAAGTATATAATCACATACATACTACCGGGGTATCTCTTGTACATCCCAGAAACACCCGCATGGCTTCATTCTGCGTTCAAGTTTCATCAGCTAACTCTGATATGGTAAGCATGCCAAGTCCATAATCTATCACCTACAGGATCACATGCTGGAACAGTGAACAACATTGTTCCATGTCCACTGCTGCCATAATCTTGAGCATTGAGTCCTTTTTGGCATTTCACTGCAACTGCATCCACGTGATTCCTGAAGGACAGGCTTCTATCAAAAATGATACCCAGGTATCTCAGTTTGCTTTCTCGTTTGATGTTACTGTTATGAACTGAGAGGTCTGGAACGCCAGCTTTTACAATTCTTTGTCCAGAGAACACCACAAAACAGCTGCCTTTTCTGAGTTGACAGCACTATTTTCGGCACATCAGTCACTCACTGTCCACAGTTGCTTGTAGCTCCTGAGCTATCCGTCGCCTGTCTCTCCCCTGCCTATATGCAAGAACATCATCGGCAAACGTCAATATTCTTCCAACACCTGGTGATTAAGTTCTGCAATCTTGCTTGTATACACATTAAAGAGCACTGGTGAAATTGCAGAACCCTGGGGTAGCCCTGGGGCAATATTACATTGTTCTGAGGTCCATGTACCCAGGCAAAGAGCTACCATAGGTAAATGCAGGACAGCTGCTATCCAGTTCACAAACCACGGACAACCCCCCTTCTCCATGAGTGCAGAAATCAAAATATCATATTTGACTATTGTAGGCATCCTCAAGATCAAGTGCTGCCACAACTGTCTCCTGTCTGTTCTGGAACCCCTCATAAACATCAAAAGCAGCTGTATTGGACCAGGTATCTTTCCCAGGCTGGTAACTACGCAAACCTTTTGGCAGGAGCTCTTCCCTTTCCTTTCCAAAAACTTGTAGTTAAACAGCAATAATAAAGTTATCAAAGAAATTAAAGTTATCAAAGAGAAAAGAGTTATCAAAGAAATACTGGTCTGCCATCTTCAATGTCATAGGTTCACATGTGCACTTGTAAACCTGATCTAGGCTCCAAGGTTAACCAAGCCTAAACTGTTATCAGGAAATGTTCTGGGACAACCAGCAGGACATTGTCTACATCATCCACCAAGTTATGGTGTTGGCATCTTTCCATCTTTCAGATGACAGCGTTATACTGTGCTAGGGGAGGCAAGGCAATCAAAGCCCATTATCTTAGCGAGTGTGACCAGCATGACAACCTCATCTTAAGAAAAGTCTTCCTCATTTACAGCATGGGACTTCAGGACTTGTTGCCATCATTAGTATTCAGTGTTTGCTTCTCATATGGCCAGCTCTCTACCTTTTTTGCAATCATGTTTTTCTTTATTCCCATTTTCTTCCTGACTTTTCCTCCTCCATGTAACGGTCCTTGGCATCAATCAATTACTGATGAGTATAAATGCCTCAAGGAACAGAAATGCTGGACAATGAGTAACAAATAACATGTTGAAGAGATGAACAATGAAGATGTGGTTTTGGATAGAATATTGAGAATACCATGGGTTGAGGATGCATTGCAACACATGAAGAAAGGAAAGGCACATGGGCCAGACATCACATTGAAAGAAATTGAAGCTTTGGGATATTTTGGAAAAAAGTTATAAAAACAAAATCGTTAAATGATATTTAAAATGGTGGGTACATTCCTAATGACCTATTAAAATCTCAATTTACTGCTTTGCCAAAGAAACCAGCATGTTAAAATGTGAAGACTATTGCACCACAAATCTTATGAGTCATGTGACCAAAATGTTACTGAGAATAATTATGAGAAGAATAAGGAACAAGGTTAAACCAGAAATTAGTGAAGAAAAGGGTGGATTTGTAGAAGAAAAGGTACAAACAATTCTATTTACATACTCAGGGGACCCTTTGAGAAAGAGCTATAGAAGTTAAAAAAAAAAAATACTACCTTTACTTATGCTTCACTGACTTTACGAAAGCATTTGATTATGTGAAACAAAGAAACAATCAACACGAAGAAACAAACTTGAAAAAAAAAAGATGGAAAAGATTTACGAATTGTAAAGAAAATGTATTGGCAGCAAACAGCAGCTTTAAAAATTGATAACCATTTGGGAACATTTTAGAGCATAAAGAGGGGAGTACAACAAGCAAGTGTGTACTGTCATCACTGTACAGTGAATACATAAGATCTACCATGGAAATGCAAGGAATTGTGGTTGGTGGTCATAATAAAAACAACCTGCATTATGCTGATGACACCGTCTTAATAGCAATAAGTCAGAAAGAACTACAAGAATTAATAGATGCATGGTGGTGGAAAGTGATTAAATGGGCTTCAAGCCAGATGTTTTGAAAGAGGAAGGTGCAGAGATAATTTTTTTTTCATGTTATGAGAAGAGTAAAAATTAAACAAACACTGTAAAGATTTGTGGAAAGGCAAGGAACCTGATGATGAGAAAAGGTGACAGATAAAAGTGGTGAGCAGTTCAGAACTAGTAACTGTGCTAGGTGGAGGAAGCCACTTTAGACAATGGCTAGGACAACCAAAACCACAAACGCAACCTACTGTAATGTGCACATAATGCTTCTATTCAAGAATTCCTTGTCAAATCAGGAGTTTTACTTCCTCTGAAATAAAACCTGGCTCTCATTATAAGGATCCTGGATAAGGTTTGTCACAATCGTTATAAACCACTTCTGCCGTTAAGCGAGGAATAATCTACAATAAAGTTCACACTGGCTGCCGTGAAGGTATAGAATCTCTTAAATGTTGTCAGGCCTTATTTTTGTGGCCGTCCTCTTGCTCTTGTAACTGATCTTCTGAGATGATGTGAATGTGATGGTATTCGATCTTGCTGCATTCTAATGAGATAGCCAAACCACTTGATCTGAAACCACTTGATCTGCTGTTTCTCGAACAAGTACAAGGTGTCGTTCCCACAATTTGTCTCACAGTATTATTATTCACTTGATTTTTGATGGTTAGTTTTGGCAGCTTTTTTCAGGCATATCTCGCAAGTCGTGATATTACATACATGGGCTTTAGAAGTGTGCCATGTTTGGCACTGGTAGCTTAATGTTGGAATGAATTTGCTGTTTATAATCTGTCTCTATGCACTCAGTTATGTTTGGATGTCTTAATAATGACAACTGATATAGGAGACTCAATGAACTATTATTTAGTGTGATCATCCTCAGCATTAAGTGCCTTGCTGACTGGCAGGAGTGACAGTTTTCCTCACCTTCAGATCAACACTGTTTATCAGTTCATATATTGACACCCTCACATCCATGATAAAAATGCTGTTAAAATCTGTTCCTGTTTTTCTCTCTTCTCCCCCCCCCCCCCCCCCCCCCCCCCCCCACAAGTATTTCCAACTGCAGTACGTTCAGGTTTTTCTCTTCTCACAACATGGTCAACAAATTATGACTGTCTCTGATAAGTTTCCTTTCTTTAATATTAAACTTAAAAAACTTTCTAAACGGTTATAAGCAACTGGATGAGGTTTGTTTAATCAGTAAATTCAGACAATTTTACTTCCTTTGTTACAAAACTTCTAGATGATTTAACAGTGAGACTTGCCATCCACGGGGATTAATTCTTTTGATACAAAAACAATTCTTGATACAAAACAATTAGCATCCTAGATTATTTTAATGATTAAATATACAAGGAAGAAAGATGAACAAGTGCTCACCTGTTGGTTTGATACAACGTTTAGGTCCCAGATGATCGTAACCGTCAGAATGTGGCTGATCCTTCTCCATGCTGGCTATAATGTTGACAGATGGGACACTCTTACAGTTGCGAGCATGATGCCCATGCTGATGGTGGGAGAGGTCACCCATGCCTGCTCCCGGGGCACCCGCTCCACCGCTGCCTTTAGCAGATGTGCTGAGTGCCTCGACTCCAGACAGGGATTTGTTGCGAGAATGGTGAATGGAGATGGGCGGTTCAGGTAGTTCTCGGAGGCTGGTGGGTCGCATATGAGCTGAGCCAGAGCTAGCGTGACGACTGTGACTGAGAACCAAACAGAAATCAAGTTTTTATGTTATGTTATCACAATCAGTGTCACTGCACACTTCCATGCTGGGCTGGAGCAGCCAACCTCTACTAACTGTTCCCATGAGGAGTTGGTTAGACATAATGTTTCCTGTCTTGGCCTCAAAGGTGACGACGTACTTGACAGTGCATTATTCCCAGGTTACATAATCACATTTGTCCAGTTCAGTTCTAGCTGTTAAAAGTTAATGTAAATTATGAATTTTATCTAACATGCTGGATCTATTTATGTAGAGTGGCTGGTATGCTGAGAATGTCACAAACAACACACTCCATAGATCCAGTGAGGATCCCAAAGATCAAAAATAAAAACAAATGCACAAGTGAACCGAACAATGTGGTTCAAAACTGAACCAACAATCTTCAGAGCAAGTGGCAAACTCTTCACTATGGAGACCACCTTTGATGTAAGTGTACTGTACAAATTTCACATATACAGAACAAAATACAAAATTTTTGTTTCTTGGAAAGACCAGATCACAAACATTGAGGTAATGGAAAGAGCAGTTATTTCAAAGATTTTCTCAATGCTTACTCTAAAAAAGCTCAGGCGGCTGGATCCCACCTCGAGAATGGGGGATTGTAAAGTCCCTAAGAACATTCTCTGTGGTGAAGATGGGTAGAATATGTCGAGGACAACCTCTACTAAGAAAAAGATGTGTACAAGCAGGACATAAATGATACCAATACTGAGGTAGATTTGTGGGAACATAAAGCCATGGACTGTGTTGCGTGGCTGGGGGGATTTGGAAAATAATGATAATGAAGGAAGAAATTATTACAGAAAGGATGACAGCTGTGCATCTTACAAGAAACACACTGAACACAAATTATGGCAACAACGGTCCTGAAATTCCATGCTATAATTGATGCACTTGTCCCATCGTTTTATCAGTCCTCCAAGACCTGCTGCATAGAACTGCGGGCTCTGTTTACTAAACCACATTTTCACTTCACATTCAACTCCTGTGTCATTCGTAAAATGTCTCTCTCATGCCAAGGTGTGTTTTTCAGTGGACCAAAAAGATGGAAATTGCTAGGGGTCAAGTCAGGGCTGTAAGGTGGATGTTCCAAAAGTTTCCTCCATAGATGGTCAATTTTCTCCAGAGTTAACAGCCATATGCGGTCTGACAATGTCATGAAGGAACAATACTCCTATAGTCAGCAGGTCTGGATGGATGTTTGCTTCAAATTACACCATGAAGCATCGACAGAACTCTACAATATGAATCAGTATTCTCATTATCACCTCTTTCTTTAAATAAAATGGTTAAAACAGAGGCTCTCATCTCAACGTACAAGTCGTGACCCTCTGGGGAAAAGAAAAAGGGGGGGGGGGGGGGGGGGGGGGGGGGGGGGGGGGGGGGGGGGGGGGGGGGGGGGGGGGGGGGGGGGGTGGGGGGGGGGGGGGGGGGGGGGGGGGGGGGGGGAGGGGGTTGTGCGATTCTTTCACAAGAGTCGCCAAAGTCAATAAGAAAACATTTACTGAAGTAGCAACAAAAATAATTTTATGGCTGGGAGTAGCCACAACATAAGAAACTGTTAAAGGTTGGGGCATAAAGAAGGTTGAGAACCACTGGGTTAAAAGCATAACATTGAATTTTTTAACACAATGCAAAGAAGGATGTTTTCATTGCATTGAAGCATGCTTTGATTCAGTCTGGTAGTGATGCATCCATGATTTGTCCCCAGTAATCTTGTTCAGCATGTCTTCATCTGCATATCGACAGAGATGCTGCAAGGACAGGCCTTATCGGTTCATTTTGTGTTCATCCTTTAATTGTCTGGGTACCCACCCTGAGCATACTTTCTTAAATTTGAAATGATCATGCATTATGTATGCTGAACCATGTGAGCATCCTATTACACCTGCTACAGAGTTAATCGTTACTCGCCTGTCACCTCTAATCATCGCATCCACCTGCTGCACAAATGCATCTGTTGCAATCTCAAAGGACAACCAGATCAGACTTCATCAACAATTTTAGATTGTCCTTAAGAATATTTTTTTATCAGCTATACAACACTTTACGGGATGCATAAACTGGAAGCATTTTACTATGAATGTCCTTTGCAGGCAGCCCCTGTGCCCAGAAAAAAACGCAAAGCAGCACGTTGTTCTTTGAGGGTACACTCCATAAGTACAGTCGCTATTTTGTTTATGTGTTGGGAATGCGCATGCAACACCCAACTAACGGAGACAAAGTTTGATGTTGTGGTCGCCTAATGACACCGTTAAAAAACCACCAACTACATTTTCCTGCCATCCCATAACCATCTGTGACTTAACTGACATCCCCTTGAATTACACTATTGTCTGGAAAGACAAAGGTACAAATAAAATATTTTTTGACCCAGAAGCTTTTGTAACAGAATCTCAAGTAGGGAAGAACTATGAAATATAAGTTCATTACTTCTGAAGATATCCACAATAGAAGTATCCATACAGGAAGAGAGGTTCTTTTAAATTTAAAATGCACTGTGACTAACTTAACACTTAAATAATATATAAATAAGATATCACAACAATAACTAACCCAGGCAATGTTCTAGTGGCTTGTACTGTTCCACCATTGACCACCACGACTTCCACTTCAGATCTGGGCTTCATATCTCCAGTGTCATGGTTCTGCTGAACCTGAAGAAAAAAAAAAGTATTCAATAAAAGTATCTTATACAGTACACAAAACACTACAAAGTTACCAGTGTACCATTTACAAGTAAAGAACTCTCTTCCTGCAACAGGTGCAATCAGGCATATCACTCTAGATTCCTATTGATAATGTTGTAAACATCATACTGGCCACCTTTACTTCCTTGGAATTTTCCTGGAATCTTTTTTAGGCCTGTTGACCTGGAAGCCAATGGCAATTGTAAAAAATCTGTCTCAATGTAGATTCGGCCCAAGACCTTTGGACTGGCAGGCAAGAACTACTTACATGCACTACACCAATGTATTGAGTATAGCAGTGTCTTTACCACTGCCAACAAAGTTTTTTACTTTTTTTAAAACCACTTTTCAGAACAGTGTTCGGTCTTGAAACAGAGGATTTTGGCCACACAGTATGATCATCATCATTCTGTTGTATGATTATATAGCATACAGGGCTTGCCAGTTTCTTCTTCCATTCCGTTCTACCCCTACATGTGTTTCAAATATCATGGATAGAATCTGGTTCAGCCCCTCTGACTGGAGTCTGCTGACAGTGACGTATTTAATACCAGAGTAGTCAACATTAGCCACCAGTCGGACTATTTTTTGCTACCCCCGTAGCTCCAGTAACATAAAGACGAGGATTCTGATCACATATATATTCAAAAATGGCCTTGGCTCCCAGGTCGACTCAGCTTTGAGTGGGTACCAGGTACATTTCTGGGAAGTAAACACAGCCAGCGTAATGCCGAACACATCCCCCACAAAGTGCTGACTGGTCTATAAAATATTGGTCTAGCCCCATATGCCCAATGTGCAGAGAGACAGACTGCATATTCAAAACAGCTGAATGGAAATGTGGATAGGGAAAACCAAGAAGATGGAAAGAACATGCAGGCAGACCTAAAAGCACTTGAGTCACCAGCTAGAAACAGTCAATCACAGAAGAATGGAGGTGGCTCATATCTGTGGTAATGAAACTCAAAAGGGTCAGAATGTTGAACACTGTTCACCACCAGATTTAATGATGATAATCATTAGGTAAGGTAAGTAAGTTGTACTCCACCAGGACATCACACCAGCGATAAACACCCAATGACATAAAGTGCCACCATGCGGATGAGGATCACCAGTGCAGAGGTCCCGGAAACTGTTTAGCCGTTAGGCTATATTTAAGGCCTGGCTATATTTAGGGCCCCTGGCAAAATACAGGGTGGTGCTAAAAAAAAAAAAAATTTCATCCCACATTGCAACAATGATGTTAATCATGTAGTAGTAGTAGTAGTACATTTTACCCCACTAGGACATCAGTGATAAACACCCAATGACTAAAAGTGCCACCATGCGGATGAGGATCACATGTGAAGAGGTCCCAGAAACCGTGTTCAGCCATTAGGCCATATTTATGGCTGGGCTATATTGCGGCCCCTGACAAAAGCCAGGGTGGGGCTTCAAAATCATGTTCCAAAGAAACACAAAGTTAATTTAAAGATTTAAAATAAGGCTTACACAAGGAATAAAAATCTCACCGTGGATTTCTTCTCTCCCTTCTTTGAAGTTTCATGGAGTTCTATGATTTCTCCTCCCTCCTTGCGTTCTCTAAAACAGATAGTTGTATATTATCAGTGCATGATTTCAGTTATCTGAAACATTAAATAAAACTTACTTGGAGGAATTATCTCCCAAGTCAGATACAAATAGACCAAATACTAATATGGATTAGGGAGGGGGGAAGTGTTAAAATAAAAAAATAAAAAAAGGAAAAAACCGCACGTATCATCATAGAGTGACATGCCATTATCATCATGTGCAATTCTAGAATCTGCGAGTAGGCAAGTTTCTCACAACATGATCTCCAGTCTTAGTTTGGACTGTTCTCATTTAGAATGGCATTAGGTGGAGAAGATTTAAGGTCTACATATTTCTCAGTCTTTTCCTTTTGTCTTTTTGCAAAACAGATCATACATGAAGAATCTTATCAATGTTGAAATGTTAAAAAAAAATAATATGGCGCTGGACACTTACAGTTGGTACACACAGGAAGTTGAAAGAAATAATTTGTATTCAGTTAACTGCATCATGCCATTATCTGTCTTAACTGAGCAAACAGGGTATTACGCAGCAGCAGTTTCAGACAACGCAGGATTACAGTTTCAGCCTTTCCTTCCCAGAAACTTTCCACCTAGCCATTTTAGGTAAGATCAACCTTGGAGCAAATGCAAATAGAAATCTTCCTTGATCAGGACTCATATGACCTCACAGCAGGCAAGCTTCATGTGCGAGAATAACAAAGATGGACGGGCAGCAGTTTCAGAATGTACAACCAATATAAGTGTGTTGGACATCTACAACTTTCACTGAAGAGTGTGTTGGGATTTTTCTGCCTTTCCAAAACAAGAGTGTGATATTTCTTAAAGCAATGCAAGGGAATCACAGACAAATTAAGGTCAGGGATGAAGTTCCTCTTCTGCACAAAGCCCGAGCCTCTTCTGCACAAAGCCTGAGCAGTATTGTAGAATAAGCAGTATTGTGTTGCTTATGCAGCATGATCCCTCTCTCAGCCTGCTTTGTAGACGGCATCTGAAGGACTGACTTCAGCTAGCCAAGGTGCTACTGTGACTAATTCAGACAAGTATAAAGACATCGAGAAAATCAATGCGACTTACTCCTTTTTGCAAGTGCACATAAGCACAACAAAGACCAGACACAGGATGCCTCCAACAGCTGCCACGATGCCCTCAAGACCAAACATATGAAACTCATCTGTGTCATCTGTTGCTGAGGTCAAGGATAGAAGCAGCCTCTGACCTTGTTTGCTCATCTTGCACACGTTAAAATCTTCCTAGTATAAACAAATGGAGATCACTACTATCTGTCATGGTTTTCATTTAAAATATTTCCATTCTGGCAGCCACTGACAAGATCAGTCTTCAGATTAGAACCTGCAAAATTGATAAAAACAAACTATACAAATATTAAGTTTTTCAAAAATTAGTCTCTAATGCATTAAACAGAGGTTCTGGCACAGCGTACAAACTTTACTACACAGACACCATGTTTTTATGCTATGCTAATCTTTGATAAGCGCTGACAAAGTCACAATGGCAAAACAGACAAGCTAGGATGTGTACACTATCTTGATGTAGTGAGGCAACAGAGGCATGCTGGTAAAAAAAGACAACATTCACCAGCTGTAAATTTCAGCACAAAGTTCTGGTGGTTCGTCTGCTTCAGGACTTTTGTTCTATAACTTGAATTTTGCATGCACATTAATTTCACAGGTCTGGCTTACATGTATACAGACCGTTGGTTCCTTGCTTCTCACGCAGATGGACTCCAACTATGAAATAAACCCCTCTAATCAGTCACTTTTTACAACATACTTGTTAAAGACGCAGTGGGTCTATTCTTGCCCCCCCCCCCCCAAGTCAGGCTGTATACATTTCATCTTGATGCAGTTACCAGTAAGGCAGCAGAGATAATGCTGGCAAAAAAAGAGACAAGCTAAAACGCTCAGCCCGGCAAACCTTACCTCTAGCGAGTCTATACCTTCTGTCTTGTTATGCTGTCATAAGAACTTTCTGGGCTCAAATCAGCCTCATCAACCACCTTTGTACTCATAACTGTCAGATGATGATTGGTATTATCTCTTAGATGGATAATCTGTGCCATGTGAAGTTGGCCATCATTTATGTCCAGTCTCCAGACTAACTCACAGTACATGTTAGTATTGGGTGCCAATGACTGGCATCAAATTTGTCTTAGGTCACAAAGACAGGTATCACCTTGGTCACACAAGGACAGGTATCACATTGGTCCCACAAGGACAGGTATCACATTGGTCCCACAAGGACAGGTATCACATTGGTCCCACAAGGACAGGTATCACATTGGTCCCACAAGGACAGGTATCACATTGGTCCCACAAGGACAGGTATCACATTGGTCCCACAAGGACAGGTATCACATTGGTCCCACAAGGACAGTTACATTAGTCTTAGGTCTCATTGACAAGTATCACATAGGTACCAAAAGGATAGGTATCACATTGGTCTTAGGTCACAAGGAGAGTTATCACACTGGTCTTAGGTCACAAAAACAAGTATCACATTGGTCTTAGGTCACAAGGACATGTATCACATTAGTCCCACAAGGACATATCTCACTGCTCTTAGGTCACAAAGACAGATCACATTGGTTCCACAAGGACAGTTATCACTTAGGCTTAAAGCAACCGCTGAGTGGTGCAGCTTATCCAATAGCTTGGTTTTCAATATGGTTAATGTGAACCAGATTAGTTAGTGTGCCTCTTTACAGATGTGAAAGTCCAGTATTATGGCAGATCCCATTGGTTAATGAGCTTGATCATAGAAAAGAGAGCTCAGCCACAGTCCCCATGTGAACAGCTTCAGCTCCCATGAAAACAGTTTCAAAGGATAGCAGATGATTTGTCGCAGCAATACAAAGTTTAAACAACTGTATACAATGAATACTAGCAACAAATACAATCTGAGAACATGTGTCTCGGCTGAGGCATCAAACAGCTGTAAACTAGGGACCATTGTGAAATCACTAAACAGGAAAATGTACTCTGCCAAATTTAAATGCTACAGAAACAGTGTCAAAATAAACTAGATCATGGACAACAACAGAAATGACTGGCATCTATGGAGTATGAACATCTCAAAACAGCATTTGCATCTGTGCATATCTTAGAAAGTGAAATACTTTGGACATTAAATGTGTTGGTGCAAGATGTGACCAGCATGAAAGTGAGCTCAGTAATTTAAAGACATATTTTGGGCATGAGAATACCTGAGATGGAAGAAATGACAAAATATTTAGACCTTCTCAGATGACAATACTTTGCAAAGGCCTTAGCATGCCCATGTAAATACTAAAATACTGGCTCTACTGGCAAATTTGGCCGGTAAGCTGGACTGCTTCGGCCGGCTTAGCGGGGCTTAGTGGGAGTTATCTCCCTTGGCCAAACTCAAAACAACTCAAAACAAGTCGCGGAAAAAGTCACGAATCAAACGGCATACTTACCTATCATCATCCGGGTGCATGTAGGGTGTCTATCATCGTCCTACGGTTGCGTGTAGGGCTGCTTATTGCGTGTAGGGTTGGTTGTTTGCGTAAGATGAGGGGTACGGTTAGGGGTTAGGGTTAGCGTTTAGGGGTTAGGTTTAGGTTTAGGGTGTAGGGTTTAGGGTTCGAGGTTAGGGTTTAGGTGTAGCGTTAGATGTGACAATTTTGACGCCGTAGTTCCCTAAAATCGCGCACAGTCGCATGCACGCGCAAACAGTCGACGGACGGTGGATGCTACTGACACGGACAATTTGCCGCCACCGATTGGGGCACCAGCCGCCGCGTGCTATTGCCGTCATATTTGACACACTTCCAGTGGCGCCACTCCCACAAGCATCAGATTGTCGGCCAGTATTTCCACCTCCTACGTGAATATTGTCACATCATCTCACCCTAACCCTACCCCTAACCCACACCCCTAACCCTACCGCTAACCCAACCCTACACGCAACCGTATGATGATGATGATAGATACCCTACGCATCGCTACACGCAACCGTATGATGATGATAGACACCCTACGCAGCCCTACGCGCAACCGTATGATGATAGGTAACCCTAGACGCCACCCTACACGCACCCGGATGATGATAGGTAAGTATGTCATTTTATTCGTGACTTTTTCCACGACTTGTTTTGAGTTTGGCGAAGGGACGCGTAGGGAAATAACTCCCACTAAGCCCCGCTAAGCCGCCTGAAGCAGTCCAGCTTACCGGTACCGGCCAAATTTGCCAGTAGAGCCAAAATACTAAATCATAATTATTCTTTTTCGTGGACCAGCTGGTCAAGTTTTTCACAGTTACATTTAATTCTCGCCTAGTTATTGTATTTTTTTTATAAATATGATCAATAGTTTGTGTTGTCCGCACATTTCTTTCTGGACTCATTCATGCATAATGATAATGCATGATTCTAGCTGTGGAATCTTCACATCTCTTGGCTTGTGTTCAAGTACTTCACGTAGTTCAAGTTGATGTGACAAGAGACTGATAACTAACTTGATAAACCAACGCATTTCATTTGGCTTTTCTTATGGTTTCGATTAACGATCTAGTAGCCACCATAGTGTTAGTTTCTATTTACAACTTTCTCGAACAAAAATGATAAACTATACAAATAACAGGCTATCGATATTAGGACACTTTCAATATTATCTGTTTATATTTTTTTAACAGGTCCCGCGTGCTCCACTTCCCAGAAACAGATTAAACTACTGTTTGCTGCACATGCACAAGATAACTGTTTCTCACCTTTATCTGAAATATTACTGAAGCAGACAAGAAATTAAAACTCCATCGGCTAAAAGTCTCACACATCAATAATAATAACATAAGCAGCAGACGCGAAAATGAAATGGTAGTGATTCTGTTCATGCACAATGTTCGCTGAGCGGAACTCTTAATGGCACGCTCGGAACTCACGTTTTTAACGATCGTTTGAGAAAACATGTCCTATGTTATGTACTCATGTCATAAGTAAATACCCGTGTGTTGTGTGGAGGGAAAGCATTGGTAGTTTGCATTGACTTCTAACCTGACTCTGGGCTATGAAAGGAAAAAACATACTTTCCAGAGTTTGTTACAGCTAATTGTCATTAAATGTTACAGACAGGTTCTAAGAATATCTTGGGTGAAGAAAAGAACAAATGCATCCATACTTCAAGAGCTGAATATTGAAGAGGGTTGGCTAGTAAAGACAATAAAACAAAGAAAATTGAAATATTTTGGTCACTTGAAACGTCATGGAAGTCTAGAGAGAACAATAATGGCGGGGTATATGCCTGGGAAGAGAGGAAGAGGAAGGCCAAGGAGAAGATGGGTGCAGGATGCGGCAGATGATCTCCAGATGGGTGTATCAGACGCAGGACATCTTGCTCAGGATAGGAAGGTTTTCCGGAGGGTTGTTATGGCAGCGAGGTTCCACGAGGGACATGCTACTGAATGAATGAATGAATTGTCATTAGCGCGTCTGGTTTTGTCGCAATAGGCTTGTTCCTTTTGCAGTGATTTTAGGCGTAGGAATGAAGTCTGGTTAGAAGAGCCGCAGGAGTTTCAAGGAAAGACAGAATACGAAAACATGAAATCAGGCGAATGCTAGGAATAAAGCCAGTCCTACAGGTAATCAAAGAACAACAAATGAAGTGGTCTGGACACCTAACAAGAATGCCCTGGTACTATCCGCCACAGCGAGCCACACTAAAACGTTATAACGGGTATAGAGCGAGTGGAAGACCTCGGAAAATATGGAGTGATGGCATCAAGAACAGCCTTACAGAAATGAACATCACTCTTAATAGTGCCCTTGACAGAGCTCATCAGCGAACATTACATCTTCCCCCGACACTTCGATGAGGTACCAGGTTGAAGAGAAGAAGAAGAAGAAGAAAATCAGACTCGATAGATAGATAGATATACGCAATAGTACAGAAGGCAAATGATGTCACCTACCAGTTAGCCCAACTACTTATACACCAAAACGTCTCCCTTCCAGCAAAACAGCAAAAAATCAATAGCATCTTCATCCCTACTTTATGTTGTCAGTGCTAAATATGGACAATGAATAGGGCACTAAAGCTGAAAAAAAAAAAAACTACTTATGAAATGCTCTTTCTTCGCAAAGTCACTAACAACACAAGAAGAGACAGGGTTACGATAACCAGCATTAGAGAAAAAGTCGGAATAAGACCGTGTCTGAATTAAATTGACAAAAAATAAAATAATTCAGCCAACT